GGTTATATTCCCAGGAAAGTAGACTATGAGATAAGGAAAGACATGCAGGAAGTTTCTTGGTGCATGCTCTTGTAATTAACATCTGTGGGAAGAATGGAAGTAAGCAGCATGGGCAGCAAGAGAAGCTCTGGAACCAACCTAAATGTCCATCATCAGATGACTGAATAAGGAAAATGTAGTACATTTACATGATGGAATACTACTCTGCCATAAAAAAAAGAATAAATTACTGCCATTTGCAGCAACATGGATGAACTTCTAGAAAATTATGTTAAGTGAAAAGCCTGGCACAGAAATAGAAATGCTGCAGGCCCTCGCTTATACATGGGAGCTGAAAAATAAAATAAAGAAATAAATAAAAAAGAAAGAAAGACACAACAATCACAATAATACATTGATCTTTCAAAAGCAGAAAATGGAACTGAGGTCACCTGAGGTGGAAAAGGGGAAAACAGAGGGGGGTTAAGTGAGGAATTGGTAAAGGGCTGCAAAAATCAATTACATTGTACACTAATTATCCTGATTTGAACATCACGTATTGCACACTGGTATTGATATTCAATGCTGTACCCACAGATATGTACAATCAACTGTGTTCAAATAAAGAAATGAGACCCTGGGCTGAGATACAATTATAACAGAGCTTCAGATGACTCCATAGGTAGCTCAAAAACTGGGATAGGGCTGGCCCGGTGGTGCACTTGGTAGAGTGCGGTGCTTGGGAGTGCGGCAGTGCTCCTGCTGAGGGTTTGGATCCCACATAGAGACCGGTCCACTCACTGGTTGAGTGTGGTGCGGGCGTGAAACCGAGGGTTGCGATCCCGTTGCCGGTCCCCGGTACGGGCGCGACACTGAGGGTTGCTATCCCGGTACCGGTCACGAAAAAAGACAAAAAGGGGAAAATAAAAACTGGGATAGACCTCTGAAAGTTCTATTTTGTTGAGTAAAGAGGCTGGGTCTTCATGTCTCATCAGAGATTTAGTCTTTGAAATGGCTATCTCTGTGAAAAACA